ACCGCGTCTCCTTTTCACTAAGCCAGCGGGTTTTTTTTCTATAAACTTTGCGATGGACGATGCAAATAAGTGGAGGAATGCTGAAAGATTTTAAATATACCTTGTGATGGTTTCATTGTTTTGAAGGTGCAGTCTGTGAAACATAGGACTTTTGACTCCAGTCTGTTTTGTAGCTGTCTATCCACATCCCTTGTTACTGAGCCTTAAAATTTGTCACTGAAAATTCTAAACCTGTAATTTGTCTCCACTCGGGTCCCATTTTGATGATGGAGGCCTTCCTTGTATCGCGTAATTCACTTGGCTTGCAGGGGACATTCTTCCTCAGTTGTTGTGGTGACGCAGCTGTTGGGAGTTTATTCCTTCAAAAATAACTCCTAACAGTGCAGACTACTTTCATTTTACCATACGGCTGCGTTGTGTTCCACTACATCACTTATTGTGAGTCCTTTCCAAGTTTTTGTTGGGTTCTCTGACACATTACTCGAAGGAATGAACAACACCTGTGCCGCTGACACCTCACCTAATTGTCTTGCGGTTGCTATGCCAAATAAAGCATTTCAAATGTTCCCTAATTACTTAAACAAATTAGGTCACATATTTTTTTCCGTGCTCAACCAAACAACTTACCTAATTTTCTTACTGACACCTTCATCTGATTTCCTTCATTTCACAGTCTCTCAAAGAAGGCGCATCTCAGTTGCCTGAACGTCTGATAAAAACTCTCACCCGCATTTCCACTCGTCTCATCGCTCCTGCTGGTCACGCTCATGTGGAGGATGGGGTGAGTGACCGTCGTGAATAAAGTCTTAGTTTTGTTCTGATGGTATTCAACCACTCGTTCGTATTTAGAGTCGTTTCGTGCTCCCTGATTGCATTTTGAGTGCTTCCGATAAGCAAACAACGGGTGTTGATCAGATGACAACCATGGAGGATATAATCAAGCATCTTCGGCGACATCTTGTTGGTGTTGAATCTCTGGTCTATTTGTCCAACGTTCTGGAAAAAGTAAGTC